CGTTACCTCAGTGACCCCGTGTCCCCCCTGCCGCCCTGTGACAGCCCGTCGCTGGAGGAGGCGCCTCGAAGGACCCAGACTACCAACACCGCTAACCGCGGGGAACGTACCCAGGCACACCTACTGACATTGTCTGGCTACTGTATGAGCCTCGGGGCCCTGGTACCCTGACGGTTCCTGCCCCTCCCGGGACCCGCGGCAGCGGCGCCGATGCAGGGCGGAGAGCGGCTACCAGAGATACGGAGTTACGAAGCACACGGTCACAGCCAGTGTCACAACACCGTCACATGGGTGTCGTAACGTCAGTGCTTTCCACGTTAGCCGCGATTTCTGCCATGCCACCCCCGCCACCTCGGGGCGCCCGTGGCTGCTGCCTGCGGGAGGGGTGATGGGAGGGCTACAATCTGCGGAAGATGTAGCATCACAGTTTCGGCAGACGCCGTCAGAGGATATGTTAGACTCAACTGCTGCCGTGGTAGTGCCTGGTTCCACATTTTACTCTAGGGCTGTACTAGCCCCGCCACCACCGCCGTGGCGTTGCAGTGCTGAGCCCCCAGTGGCCGTGAGGTTGAGGCAGGGAACGGCAGTTCCGGGAGTCGCCGGGTGATGCACAGTGTACGTTACGCCATCTGACGCAACTTTGGCAGGCACAACCCTCCACCTCCCAGAGTCAGTCGGCCAGCCTCCCACCGCCACCACCGCCGTGACGGCAGGGGACGGGTGACGTCATTTGAGCAACCGGGTAAGGCACCTTCAGGGATGTCGTAAGGTGATGTAACGTGACTACATCATCAGCCGAAGTCGCCTGGAAGCGTTACCTCAGTGACGCCGTGTCCCCGCTGCCGCCCTGTGACGGCTGCTGCCGGAGGAGGCGCCTCGTGGGAGGTATATGACCGTCACCGCTAACCGCGGGAAATGTACCCAGGCACACCCACTAACGCGGTCTGGCCACTCTATGAGCCTCGGGGCCCTGGTACCCGGACGGCTCCCTCCCTCCCGGACCCGCGGCAGCGGCACGGCTGGCGGGGAGACGGCTACCAGGGATACGGAGTTACGAAGCACACGGTCAAAGCCAGTGTCACAACACCGTCATACGGGTGTAGTAACGTTGGTGGTTCCCACCCTAGCCGCGATTTCGGTGACTCCACCCCGCCACCTCGGGGCGCCCGTGGCTGCTGCCGGCGGGAGGGGTGCTGGGAGGGCTACAATCTGCAGGTGACGTAGCATCACAGTTTCGGCAGACGCCGTCAGAGGATATGTTAGACTCAACTGCTGCCTGGGTACTGCCTGGTTCCACATTTTACTCTGCTTCACTCCGAGCACTGCCACCACCGCCGCGGCAGCCCGGCAACCGAGCCTCCAGTGGCCGTGAGGCTGAGGCAGGGAACGGCAGTTCCGGGAGTCGCCGGGTGATGCACAGTGTACGTTACGCCGCCTAACGCTACTTTGGCAGGTACAACCCTCCACCTCCCGTAGTCGGTCGGCCAGCCTCCCACCGCCACCACCGCCGTGACCGCGGGGGACGGGTGACGCCATTTGAGCAACCGGGTAAGGCACCTTCAGGGATGTCGTAAGGTGATGTAACGTGACTACATCATCAGCCGAAGTCGCCTGGAAGCGTTACCTCAGTGACCCCGTGTCCCCGCTGCCGCCCTGTGACGGCTGCTGCCGGAGGAGGCGCCTCGGGGGAGGTAGGCGACCACCACCGCTAACCGCGGGAAACGTACCCAGGCACACCTACTGACATTGTCTGGCCACTCTATGAGCCTCGGGGCCCTGGTACCCGGACGGCTCCCTCACCCTCCCGGTACCCGCGGCAGCGGCACGGCTGGTGGCTGGGAGACGGCTACCAGGGATACGGAGTTACGAAGCACACGGTCAAAGCCAGTGTCACAACACCGTCATACGGGTGTAGTAACGTTGGTGGTTCCCACCCTAGCCGCGATTTCGGTGACTCCACCCCGCCACCTCGGGGCGCCCGTGGCTGCTGCCGGCGGGAGGGGTGCTGGGAGGGCTACAATCTGCAGGTGACGTAGCATCACAGTATCGGCAGGTGCAGGCAGATGACGTGCCAGACGCAACTGCTGCCTGGGTACGCCCTGGTTATACATTCCACTCTGCTTCACTCCGAGCACTGCCACCACCGCCGCGGCAGCCCGGCAACCGAGCCTCCAGTGGCCGTGAGGCTGAGGCAGGGAACGGCAGTTCCGGGAGTCGCCGGGTGATGCACAGTGTACGTTACGCCGCCTAACGCTACTTTGGCAGGTACAACCCTCCACCTCCCAGAGTCGGTCGGCCAGCCTCCCACCGCCACCACCGCCGTGACGGCAGGGGACGGGTGACGTCATTTGAGCGACCTAATAAGGCACATTCAGGGAAGTCATCAGACGACGTAATGTGACGAGGTCGTCAGCCGAAGTCGCCTGGAAGCGTTACCTCAGTGACCCCGTGTCCCCCTGCCGCCCTGTGACAGCCCGTCGCTGGAGGAGGCGCCTCGAAGGACCCAGACTACCAACACCGCTAACCGCGGGGAACGTACCCAGGCACACCTACTGACATTGTCTGGCTACTGTATGAGCCTCGGGGCCCTGGTACCCTGACGGTTTCTGCCCCTCCCGGGACCCGCGGCAGCGGCGCCGATGCAGGGCGGAGAGCGGCTACCAGAGATACGGAGTTACGAAGCACACGGTCACAGCCAGTGTCACAATACCGTCATACGGGCGTGGTAACGTTGCCAGTTACCACTGTACCCGCGATTTCTGCCATGCCACCCCCGCCACCTCGGGGCGCCCGTGGCTGCTGCCTGTGGGAGGGGTGCTGGGAGGGCTACAATCTGCAGGTGACGTAGCATCACAGTTTCGGCAGACGCCGTCAGAGGATATGCCAGACGCAACTGCTGCCTGGGTACTGCCTGGTTCCACATTTTACTCTGCTTCACTGAGCACTGCCACCACCGCCGCGGCAGCCCGGCAACCGAGCCTCCAGTGGCCGTGAGGCTGAGGCAGGGAACGGCAGTTCCGGGAGTCGCCGGGTGATGCACAGTGTACGTTACGCCGCCTAACGCTACTTTGGCAGGTACAACCCTCCACCTCCCGTAGTCGGTCGGCCAGCCTCCCACCGCCACCACCGCCGTGACCGCGGGGGACGGGTGACGCCATTTGAGCAACCGGGTAAGGCACCTTCAGGGAAGTCACCAAACAACGTAACGTGACGATGTTGTCAGCCGAAGTCGCCTGGAAGCGTTACCTCAGTGACCCCGTGTCCCCCTGCCGCCCTGTGACAGCCTGTCGCTGGAGGAGGCGCCTCGAAGGACCCAGACTACCAACACCGCTAACCGCGGGAATGTACCCAGGCACACCACTAACGCGGTCTGGCTACTGTATGAGCCTCGGGGCCCTGGTACCCTGACGGTTCCTCACCCTCCCGGACCCGCGGCAGCGGCACGGATGGGGCGGAGAGCGGCTACCAGAGATACGGAGTTACGAAGCACACGGTCACAGCCAGTGTCACAACACCGTCATATGGGTGTAGTAACGTTGTCAGTTACCACTGTACCCGCTTTTTCGGTGACTCCACCCCGCCACCTCGGGGCGCCGTGGCTGCTGCCGGCGGGAGGGGTGCTGGGAGGGCTACAATCTGCAGGTGACGTAGCATCACAGTATCGGCAGATGCCGTCAGAGGATGTGCCAGACGCAACTGCTGCCTGGGTACTGCCTGGTTCCACATTTTACTCTGCTTCACTCCGAGCACTGCCACCACCGCCGCGGCAGCCCGGCAACCGAGCCTCCAGTGGCCGTGAGGCTGAGGCAGGGAACGGCAGTTCCGGGAGTCGCCGGGTGATGCACAGTGTACGTTACGCCGCCTAACGCTACTTTGGCAGGTACAACCCTCCACCTCCCGTAGTCGGTCGGCCAGCCTCCCACCGCCACCACCGCCGTGACCGCAGGGGACGGGTGCCGCCATATGAGCGACCTAATAAGGCACATTCAGAAAAGTCACCAAACGACGTAACGTGACGATGTTGTCAGCCGAAGTCGCCTGGAAGCGTTACCTCAGTGACCCCGTGTCCCCCCTGCCGCCCTGTGACAGCCCGTCGCTGGAGGAGGCGCCTCGAAGGACCCAGACTACCAACACCGCTAACCGCGGGGAACGTACCCAGGCACACCTACTGACATTGTCTGGCTACTGTATGAGCCTCGGGGCCCTGGTACCCTGACGGTTCCTGCCCCTCCGGGACCCGCGGCAGCGGCGCCGATGCAGGGCGGAGAGCGGCTACCAGAGATACGGAGTTACGAAGCACACGGTCACAGCCAGTGTCACAACACCGTCACATGGGTGTCGTAACGTTGGTGGTTCCCACCCTAGCCGCGATTTCTGCCATGCCACCCCCGCCACCTCGGGGCGCCCGTGGCTGCTGCCTGTGGGAGGGGTGCTGGGAGGGCTACAATCTGCAGGTGACGTAGCATCACAGTTTCGGCAGACGCCGTCAGAGGATATGTTAGACTCAACTGCTGCCTGGGTACTGCCTGGTTCCACATTTTACTCTGCTTCACTCCGAGCACTGCCACCACCGCCGCGGCAGCCCGGCAACCGAGCCTCCAGTGGCCGTGAGGCTGAGGCAGGGAACGGCAGTTCCGGGAGTCGCCGGGTGATGCACAGTGTACGTTACGCCGCCTAACGCTACTTTGGCAGGTACAACCCTCCACCTCCCGTAGTCGGTCGGCCAGCCTCCCACCGCCACCACCGCCGTGACCGCAGGGGACGGGTGCCGCCATATGAGCGACCTAATAAGGCACATTCAGAAAAGTCACCAAACGACGTAACGTGACGATGTTGTCAGCCGAAGTCGCCTGGAAGCGTTACCTCAGTGACCCCGTGTCCCCCCTGCCGCCCTGTGACAGCCCGTCGCTGGAGGAGGCGCCTCGAAGGACCCAGACTACCAACACCGCTAACCGCGGGAAATGTATCAGGTACACCCACTAACCTGGCCTAGCTAGTGTATGAGCCTCGGGGCCCAGGTACCCGGATGGCCATCCGACCCTCCCGGGACCCGCGGCAGCGGCACCGATGCAGGGCGGAGAGCGGCTACCAGAGATACGGAGTTACAAAGCACACGGTCACTGTCAGTGTCACAATACCGTCATATGGGTGTAGTAACGTTGTCAGTTACCACTGTACCCGCTTTTTCGGTGACTCCACCCCGCCACCTCGGGGCGCCGTGGCTGCTGCCGGCGGGAGGGGTGCTGGGAGGGCTACAATCTGCAGGTGACGTAGCATCACAGTATCGGCAGATGCCGTCAGAGGATGTGCCAGACGCAACTGCTGCCTGGGTACTGCCTGGTTCCACATTTTACTCTAGGGCTGTACTAGCCCCGCCACCACCGCCGCGGCAGCCCGGCAACCGAGCCTCCAGTGGCCGTGAGGCTGAGGCAGGGAACGGCAGTTCCGGGAGTCGCCGGGTGATGCACAGTGTACGTTACGCCGCCTAACGCTACTTTGGCAGGTACAACCCTCCACCTCCCGTAGTCGGTCGGCCAGCCTCCCACCGCCACCACCGCCGTGACCGCGGGGGACGGGTGACGTCATATGAGCAACCGGGTACGGCACCTTCAGGGAAGTCACCAAACAACGTAACGTGACGATGTTGTCAGCCGAAGTCGCCTGGAAGCGTTACCTCAGTGACCCCGTGTCCCCCCTGCCGCCCTGTGACAGCCCGTCGCTGGAGGAGGCGCCTCGAAGGACCCAGACTACCAACACCGCTAACCGCGGGGAACGTACCCAGGCACACCTACTGACATTGTCTGGCTACTGTATGAGCCTCGGGGCCCTGGTACCCTGACGGTTCCTGCCCCTCCCGGGACCCGCGGCAGCGGCGCCGATGCAGGGCGGAGAGCGGCTACCAGAGATACGGAGTTACGAAGCACACGGTCACAGCCAGTGTCACAACACCGTCACATGGGTGTCGTAACGTTGGTGGTTCCCACCCTAGCCGCGATTTCTGCCATGCCACCCCCGCCACCTCGGGGCGCCCGTGGCTGCTGCCTGTGGGAGGGGTGCTGGGAGGGCTACAATCTGCAGGTGACGTAGCATCACAGTTTCGGCAGACGCCGTCAGAGGATATGTTAGACTCAACTGCTGCCTGGGTACTGCCTGGTTCCACATTTTACTCTGCTTCACTCCGAGCACTGCCACCACCGCCGCGGCAGCCCGGCAACCGAGCCTCCAGTGGCCGTGAGGCTGAGGCAGGGAACGGCAGTTCCGGGAGTCGCCGGGTGATGCACAGTGTACGTTACGCCGCCTAACGCTACTTTGGCAGGTACAACCCTCCACCTCCCGTAGTCGGTCGGCCAGCCTCCCACCGCCACCACCGCCGTGACCGCAGGGGACGGGTGCCGCCATATGAGCGACCTAATAAGGCACATTCAGAAAAGTCACCAAACGACGTAACGTGACGATGTTGTCAGCCGAAGTCGCCTGGAAGCGTTACCTCAGTGACCCCGTGTCCCCCCTGCCGCCCTGTGACAGCCCGTCGCTGGAGGAGGCGCCTCGAAGGACCCAGACTACCAACACCGCTAACCGCGGGGAACGTACCCAGGCACACCTACTGACATTGTCTGGCTACTGTATGAGCCTCGGGGCCCTGGTACCCTGACGGTTTCTGCCCCTCCCGGGACCCGCGGCAGCGGCGCCGATGCAGGGCGGAGAGCGGCTACCAGAGATACGGAGTTACGAAGCACACGGTCACAGCCAGTGTCACAATACCGTCATACGGGCGTGGTAACGTTGCCAGTTACCACTGTACCCGCGATTTCTGCCATGCCACCCCCGCCACCTCGGGGCGCCCGTGGCTGCTGCCTGTGGGAGGGGTGCTGGGAGGGCTACAATCTGCAGGTGACGTAGCATCACAGTTTCGGCAGACGCCGTCAGAGGATATGTTAGACTCAACTGCTGCCTGGGTACTGCCTGGTTCCACATTTTACTCTGCTTCACTCCGAGCACTGCCACCACCGCCGCGGCAGCCCGGCAACCGAGCCTCCAGTGGCCGTGAGGCTGAGGCAGGGAACGGCAGTTCCGGGAGTCGCCGGGTGATGCACAGTGTACGTTACGCCGCCTAACGCTACTTTGGCAGGTACAACCCTCCACCTCCCGTAGTCGGTCGGCCAGCCTCCCACCGCCACCACCGCCGTGACCGCAGGGGACGGGTGCCGCCATATGAGCGACCTAATAAGGCACATTCAGAAAAGTCACCAAACGACGTAACGTGACGATGTTGTCAGCCGAAGTCGCCTGGAAGCGTTACCTCAGTGACCCCGTGTCCCCCCTGCCGCCCTGTGACAGCCCGTCGCTGGAGGAGGCGCCTCGAAGGACCCAGACTACCAACACCGCTAACCGCGGGGAACGTACCCAGGCACACCTACTGACATTGTCTGGCTACTGTATGAGCCTCGGGGCCCTGGTACCCTGACGGTTCCTGCCCCTCCCGGGACCCGCGGCAGCGGCGCCGATGCAGGGCGGAGAGCGGCTACCAGAGATACGGAGTTACGAAGCACACGGTCACAGCCAGTGTCACAACACCGTCACATGGGTGTCGTAACGTTGGTGGTTCCCACCCTAGCCGCGATTTCGGTGACTCCACCCCGCCACCTCGGGGCGCCCGTGGCTGCTGCCGGCGGGAGGGGTGCTGGGAGGGCTACAATCTGCAGGTGACGTAGCATCACAGTATCGGCAGGTGCAGGCAGATGACGTGCCAGACGCAACTGCTGCCTGGGTACGCCCTGGTTATACATTCCACTCTGCTTCACTCCGAGCACTGCCACCACCGCCGCGGCAGCCCGGCAACCGAGCCTCCAGTGGCCGTGAGGCTGAGGCAGGGAACGGCAGTTCCGGGAGTCGCCGGGTGTTGCACAGTGTACGTTACGCCATTTGACGCTACTTTGGCAGGTACAAGCCCCCACCTCCCAGAGTCAGTCGGCCAGCCTCCCACCGCCGCCACCGCTACTGCGACGGCAGGGGACGGGTGACGTCATTTGAGCAAGCGGGTACGGCACATTCAGGGAAGTCATCAGACGACGTAATGTGACGAGGTCGTCAGCCGAAGTCGCCTGGAAGCGTTACCTCAGTGACCCCGTGTCCCCCCTGCCGCCCTGTGACAGCCCGTCGCTGGAGGAGGCGCCTCGAAGGACCCAGACTACCAACACCGCTAACCGCGGGGAACGTACCCAGGCACACCTACTGACATTGTCTGGCTACTGTATGAGCCTCGGGGCCCTGGTACCCTGACGGTTTCTGCCCCTCCCGGGACCCGCGGCAGCGGCGCCGATGCAGGGCGGAGAGCGGCTACCAGAGATACGGAGTTACGAAGCACACGGTCACAGCCAGTGTCACAATACCGTCATACGGGCGTGGTAACGTTGCCAGTTACCACTGTACCCGCGATTTCTGCCATGCCACCCCCGCCACCTCGGGGCGCCCGTGGCTGCTGCCTGTGGGAGGGGTGCTGGGAGGGCTACAATCTGCAGGTGACGTAGCATCACAGTTTCGGCAGACGCCGTCAGAGGATATGTTAGACTCAACTGCTGCCTGGGTACTGCCTGGTTCCACATTTTACTCTGCTTCACTCCGAGCACTGCCACCACCGCCGCGGCAGCCCGGCAACCGAGCCTCCAGTGGCCGTGAGGCTGAGGCAGGGAACGGCAGTTCCGGGAGTCGCCGGGTGATGCACAGTGTACGTTACGCCGCCTAACGCTACTTTGGCAGGTACAACCCTCCACCTCCCGTAGTCGGTCGGCCAGCCTCCCACCGCCACCACCGCCGTGACCGCAGGGGACGGGTGCCGCCATATGAGCGACCTAATAAGGCACATTCAGAAAGTCACCAAACGACGTAACGTGACGATGTTGTCAGCCGAAGTCGCCTGGAAGCGTTACCTCAGTGACCCCGTGTCCCCCCTGCCGCCCTGTGACAGCCCGTCGCTGGAGGAGGCGCCTCGAAGGACCCAGACTACCAACACCGCTAACCGCGGGAACGTACCCAGGCACACCTACTGACATTGTCTGGCTACTGTATGAGCCTCGGGGCCCTGGTACCCTGACGGTTTCTGCCCCTCCCGGGACCCGCGGCAGCGGCGCCGATGCAGGGCGGAGAGCGGCTACCAGAGATACGGAGTTACGAAGCACACGGTCAAAGCCAGTGTCACAATACCGTCATATGGGTGTAGTAACGTTGCCAGTTACCACTGTACCCGCGATTTCTGCCATGCCACCCCCGCCACCTCGGGGCGCCCGTGGCTGCTGCCTGTGGGAGGGGTGCTGGGAGGGCTACAATCTGCAGGTGACGTAGCATCACAGTTTCGGCAGACGCCGTCAGAGGATATGTTAGACGCAACTGCTGCCTGGGTACTGCCTGGTTCCACATTTTACTCTGCTTCACTCCGAGCACTGCCACCACCGCCGCGGCAGCCCGGCAACCGAGCCTCCAGTGGCCGTGAGGCTGAGGCAGGGAACGGCAGTTCCGGGAGTCGCCGGGTGATGCACAGTGTACGTTACGCCGCCTAACGCTACTTTGGCAGGTACAACCCTCCACCTCCCGTAGTCGGTCGGCCAGCCTCCCACCGCCACCACCGCCGTGACCGCAGGGGACGGGTGCCGCCATATGAGCGACCTAATAAGGCACATTCAGAAAAGTCACCAAACGACGTAACGTGACGATGTTGTCAGCCGAAGTCGCCTGGAAGCGTTACCTCAGTGACCCCGTGTCCCCCCTGCCGCCCTGTGACAGCCCGTCGCTGGAGGAGGCGCCTCGAAGGACCCAGACTACCAACACCGCTAACCGCGGGGAACGTACCCAGGCACACCTACTGACATTGTCTGGCTACTGTATGAGCCTCGGGGCCCTGGTACCCTGACGGTTCCTGCCCCTCCCGGGACCCGCGGCAGCGGCGCCGATGCAGGGCGGAGAGCGGCTACCAGAGATACGGAGTTACGAAGCACACGGTCACAGCCAGTGTCACAACACCGTCACATGGGTGTCGTAACGTTGGTGGTTCCCACCCTAGCCGCGATTTCGGTGACTCCACCCCGCCACCTCGGGGCGCCCGTGGCTGCTGCCGGCGGGAGGGGTGCTGGGAGGGCTACAATCTGCAGGTGACGTAGCATCACAGTATCGGCAGGTGCAGGCAGATGACGTGCCAGACGCAACTGCTGCCTGGGTACTGCCTGGTTCCACATTCCACTCTGCTTCACTCCGAGCACTGCCACCACCGCCGCGGCAGCCCGGCAACCGAGCCTCCAGTGGCCGTGAGGCTGAGGCAGGGAACGGCAGTTCCGGGAGTCGCCGGGTGATGCACAGTGTACGTTACGCCGCCTAACGCTACTTTGGCAGGTACAACCCTCCACCTCCCAGAGTCGGTCGGCCAGCCTCCCACCGCCACCACCGCCGTGACGGCAGGGGACGGGTGACGCCATATGAGCAACCGGGTACGGGACCTTCA